ATTTTATTTAACTATAATGGAAAAAAAATTACAACAATTTTGTCTCTCATAATTATTCTAACTAAAGAATTACAACAATTTTGTCTCTCATAATTATTCTAACTTTTGTAATAAATCATCTTGTAAAGAAGAGTCGACTATATATAAAGAACATATCAAAATTCTAACAATATTATTAAAAATGGAAATAGTATAAAAAACACGCGGACTAAAAGAAACAATATTTTTCCAAAAAAAAAAATCTGACTGAAATTGGATCACAAACCCAACATATTTATCTCCCCTTCTCATCTACCCACCAATAAAAAATGGATAAGTATAACATTTTTTAATAATTCACATACAAATAAGTTCTAGACAATTGAATTACCTATAATTTATTTTCTTTCTATACAAATTCTATTCTCGCAATCAGACGCACCATAAATATAATTAATGAAACAGTGGTTGGTAAAATAAGTAATGTAACAATAAGTTTAATTTAATTCCAAGTACAATCAGACTGCTTGCTTTTTCAATGAAATCATAAGAAAAAGGAAGTTGGAGGAATCCCTAGAGTACAAGAAATTTACTCCTTAAAAGTTAAAACTAGAAAAGTATTTTGTCGTCATGTTTATTCTTTTTCCTCTTCCATTTTTCATAGTTTAAATCTAGGAAATTAAGGCTATGGAAAATAGTTTTTTTTCTATATCATTTAATTTATAATTTGCTTAGACAAAAAAAGCATAAAAAAAATTTATTCTGAAATGACATTTGGAGCGATACAGATGTCATTTGTAAATTATTTGTACTTTCATTATGTAGTAACATATAATTAATGAAGTGTGGTTCACCAAACAGCTAACTTGGTTAAGACATTATAACATAAATGCATAATATTAAATAATGTGGTTCAAATAATGCCATTTGCATTCTTAAAAAAGCAGAGCATGCCTAATTAATGTTCCCATCCGTCTGTTTCTTTATAAATATCTTAAAGGTTGAACCCCAATCTTGAGGGCACCCCACCGACTCATCCTTAGAGCATTGTGGAGGAGGTAAATCGCGGAATGTATCTTAACAGGTTAGGGTACAAGAGCTGATATACTGATACCCACAAAGAATCTAATTTCATAACTTGTAAGATGCAGAAATCAATCTCTCACACTGCGGCTGCCAGCTCGACTGAGACTACCTTACTTATGTCCTTTGCACCACTGAACTATGCCTCGAGAGACAATATCTTAGTTGACTCATTCATATATCCCAAGTTCTTTTCCTAAATCACAAAATTTTTGTAGTGTTGAGAATGCAAGCCCCTCATTTTTGACATGATCGGCTCGGTTAAGGTGGTCCGTTATACATAAATGAGAGAATATCTACATTAAATTCGTATTTCCATACTTTTACCTTGTTTAGTCGTTCAATTAGTATAAAATTGAGAAATCTTTTTTTTTATCCGTAAAGATTCAACTTTCAGAGGCATGCTATATGTACATTTCATTTGTCCACTAGCTAGTTTTCATTTGAAGATTTTGCTGGATGCACGTGAGAATACAATCTAAGTCATTCGAGAAAAGAAAGATAATTAATTTGTCCATTATATTTCTTATACTTCAGAAATAATAGGCTAATTGATTATGAAAATTTTAATAACTAAAACTAATTTTCGTTTGAAATTGTATTTTGCAAAATTTGAAGGCAACAATTGCCAACAATCCATATCAATTTATTATAATTTCAATTATCAATGCAAGTACATATCCCTTTCCAATTAATTTTAAAACAGACGTCTAAAAATTTGATTGGAGGAAATAAAGGTTCCTAGTCCTTTCCCAAATAAATGCATTTGGGGGCTTCATTTCTTTTATTAAAACTATTAAGTTTTTGCATATAACAAATAAGAGATATTTTGAAACTGTTCATAGTGCATAAATATACAGAAAAACCATTTTGGAGAGATTTTTTTTTTAATTTTTTTAAAAAATTCGTCACACCTGTAAAATAATGAATTTCATGAATGCCAAATCAAAGACCTTATCTTCAGAGGGAGTCGAATGAAAATAAATCTTGTGGTTGCACAAGAAGCATCCTAATATATAACATTGTTGTGAAAAAGATGACAATGAAAGTAAAAGATAAACACACGGATTTGCAGAGAAATTTTTATTTCTTGAGGAATCACAATACAGTAGTTGGGTGACTACTAATTTCGCTTACAAACCATATGTCATAAAATAACATATATATAGTCAGAAGAAGAAAAACCCTAATACAATGAAAATACCCAAAATACCCTTGTGTGAATTTTCGCCAGTTGTGACTGGGTGTCCAGTATAGTCAGGCTCCACACAACTCAACAAACATGTCGCGCAAGAAGCAAGCTATCACAGTGTTAATACACTTGTGTATTTTGTTGAGAATCGAATCTCTATATTTATATGTAAGAATTATGACTCTAGGAATACAATAATTAGAATTATAGGGATACGATAGTCATTTAATATTTAATTTAAAATAATAAATAAATAAATTTTCTATCTAAAAACTGATTATTTTTCAAAAAAAGAAAAAGAAAAAGTAATAATACAATTTAGAATTATGAACTGAAAGAGAGCAGCAGCTCTTTTAATTTACATGTACGGTCTATTTTTTGATCCTGACACTTTTCTGTCCTGTGAGGTCCTCTCGAGATTGAGCGGCCTAATCTATTTGACACGGTATCTACTCTATGATTTTTCATGCACCTGCACACTTTGACTTGAAGAGCATGAAAGGGTTTGGACAACTGTTTTCCTATGATTGGCTTATTTTCATACATGCAAATTAAGTAGTGTGAGAATTTTCTCTTATTTGAAGAAATAATTGCTTATAATCATGTAATATCCCCTATTGGTGAGAATTAGAAACTGATGGACAGTTCAAAAATGTTATTTTCGTCTAGTAGTTTACCAAACAAGTCCTTCTAACACAATCTTAAGCCTGCCCTTTTGTCATTAATCAATTATTTTTGAGTTTATTATATGCCAAAATAGATCTTTGTTAATTTGACCTTGTTTTGATGTAGTCCATAAGTGGCAAAGGAGGTAGCCTACCAAACTCTTATGATTTGGACAACTACGTTCTTTTAACCCTACCCACTTGTCTTCTTCGATGCATATGGGTGGGGTGGAGTGGGGTGGGGTGAAAATAATATATTTTTCATGGTTAAAAATATTCCTCGATGTATTTATTTAACGAGCTAGCGTTAAAATTGGTGTAATATTATGTTGAAACAAATGAATTATGAAATACACAATTATAAGGTTAATATTTCAAATCGATTAGAGATGAATATAATAAACAATATACTACGCTTATGTTTGGTAGGTATTAAAATCTAGATTTTACTTTAAGTCAAAATTAACAAATAATTTTAACTACATAATTAATGGGACCCACAACTTTTTAATTACACAGTTTATTAACTTTTATCAAAATTTACTAAAAATCTGATTTTAATTCTTATCAAACAGGACTGCATTTCTAAATAAAATTGACTTTCTAAAATGAAATTTCAATCGTATGCTATCAAAACATATTTAGTTCAAAATAACCATTTTACACTTCTATAGCTCAAAACAAGCCATCACATGCAGAGCCAGACATGGCCCTTGTTTGATTCTCATTATTTCTAAAATATATTATTCTCTTTCTTATTTTTAATCATACATTTTTTAATAAAATAATATTACAAACAAATAAAAAATATTTTCTTATTTTTTATCCACAAATTCTTATTTCAAAATGTATTTACACAAAAAATTATGCTCAAACAAGCTCATAAAGAGAATATGTACAAAACACGATTGTACACAGTACTAAACGAGGTTATTTTTTCAATAATTGAAAAGGCTCTCCTCTAACTAGATGGTCTAGATTGTCCACATAGTAGTAAACAACATTAAGAGCCTGTTTGGTAGGAATTTTTGGGGGAAGAATTGATTTTGAATAGTGATATGATGGGAAATGTGTGGTTGAAAAAGAAGAAAAAAGTATTGATGTGATGAAAAATATTATTTTATTGAAGAATGTGTGGTTGAAAATGAGAATT